CACCCCCCCCCCCCCCCCCACAAACAAACTCGTTGAAAGAGAAGGGAGGGGGCGCGCCCCCCCCCCCCCCCAAAAAAGCACGAAGGGGGAGAAAAAATTTTTGGGGCCCCCCCCCCCCCCAAAAAAGTTTTTTTAGAAAACTTTCTCTTTTCGTTCAGGTGCTCTTATCTCTTTTGTTTATGTCTGCTGGTGTTTGTTGGTCCCTTATTTATCATGCCTATGTTTGTTTACACCTGCGTTAGTCTATGAAGCCTTTGTGTTAGTCTATGGTTCAGTATGCCACGCCCTGTTTTAGCCTCTATTGTTTTGTGTTTATTTATGTATCTAATTTTTTTTCCCACGCATCTAATTTTGCACCTATTTATTTCCGCAGCTATTTATTGGTTTGTTTATTTTAGGATTTAGTTTTTAGCTACTGTTGTTTGTGCATACCCTGGTAGCGAGCAGGTCTTGAACCCGACACGGGCGCCTTTCGTGTCGAGAACAAACCTGCCGCGCCATCAGTGCAAGCACACTGGTAGCTGTTCTCTTTTTTGGTTTGACGTTGTCATTTGGGTCGGGACTTAAAAAAAATTACTGCACCTAGTAAGATTTGAACCCACAACCTCCAGTCTACAAACCAGCAACCAACAGTCTGAGCTATGTACTCTGACAAACTTGTTTGTTTTTTTTGTATATTTGACTTCTTCATTTGGGTGTCAGACCAAAAAAAAGCAACAGCCTCTTCTGGGACTTGAACCCACACCTTTTGGTTTACAAACCAGTCTTCTATCACACTGAGCTATTTCATCTGACACATAACTCCGGTTTGGTGCTTTTGACCGGCACAAGGGCACATGTTCAAAGAGTTGCACTGGTATGCAATATAAACATATAAAAATGCACCAACACATTCGGGGTAAAGGCATACACACATACAATAATAAATAAATAGAGAAATAAAGTCTAAATAAACTGCTTCTCATGAGATTTGAACTCTCAACCTCATGTTCTCCAAGCAGTCAAAAATCTCTCTGAGCTATCTGATCTGACAGGTGGTGATGGGTTGGTAGAGCTTTTGGTAGAGCAGTTGTCGACGCACATGTAAATGTAACAGTTGCACCTGGATGCGATGCAAACTTTTAGCAATGCACACATAAATACATAAATGTGTACATACATACAAACAGGAGTAAATAAATACAATTAACTAAATACTTACATTTCTCAAGATTTGAACCTTCAACCTCTGATCCCCAAAGCAACATGCTAACTTGCAGAGCTATCTGTTCTGATACTCATGCTAGCTTTCGTTCGTATATTTGACATCGTCATTTGCCCACTGGCCCTCAAAATTAATCAACCTTTGTAAGATTTGAACCCCCAACCCTTTGATCTTCAGAGCAACATGCTATCACACTGAACTGTCTGATCTGACATACTGAGCAAGCATTTCGTTGCATATTTAACTTCTTCGTTTGGGGCGTTGGACCTCAAAATTAGCTGCACCCTGTAACGTTACCCGCCCACCACCTCAGGTCTTCTGAGCAATTGTCAATCACCCTGATGTCGTAGTAGAACTTCAGACTCCTTAACAAACAACTTTATCGCTACTTACTTTTTAGTCACATGCTAGCTACTTACTTTTTAGTTACTTGCCTTATATCTTCATATGTATTGTATAGCTACTTTAGTTACACGCTAGACACTTAGTGTTAATTACCTGGCTTATATCTACGGACTTTATAGTTGCATGCTAGCTACCTAGTTTTAGTTATGTGCAATGTGTCTGTGTACTGTATAGCTACTTTAACGTTACATGCTAGCTACTTAGTTTTAGTGACATGCTTTATATCAACATACTGTATAGCTACTTTAGTTACACACTAGATACTTAGTGTTAGTTACTTGGCTTATGTCTACGGACTTTATAGTTACATGCTAGCTACTTGGTTTTAGTTACATGTTTTATATTGACGTAGTGTTTAGGTACTTTATAGTTACATGCTAGCTATTTGGTTTTAGTGACATGCTTCATATCGACATACTGTTTAGCTACTTTATAGTTCCATGCTAGCTACTTATCTTTAGTTAATTGGTTTATATTATGGCATCAGTTTATCAATACATCCTTTACATCTACTTAATTTATAGTTACATGCTTTATATTTGCATACTTAAAGTCTGACCTCATGAGGTTAAAGTCTGCGCCTTACGAGGTTCGAACCTCCAACCTGTGGTCTTCAGGCCAGTCCACTATCGCCCGTAGCTATCTGATCTTTCACACCTTGTTGGTCTTTATTTGCGAATTTGGCTACTTAATTTGGGGGATTGGACTTGAAAATTCAGTGTCAGCCAAGAATCGAACCCACAACTTCTTGAACATCTGAATAGCTGACTATCAACAGGAGCCACTTGTTCAGAACACTTGGGCTGAACTTCTCGGAGCATTTAATGCTTCTATTTGGACACTGACATTAAATTGAAACACCGTGGTTGAGATTCGAACCTGCAGCCTCAAAACTTCAGCTAAGGCTTCTAACATCCTGAGTTATACGACCTGCGGTGTTTTCACGTCATAGATTCAATTCTCAAGCTACATTTTGGCAGAAGAAGACGCTCAACAACCAGTCAAAACACAGAACTTGATTTTTATGACTTTTATTAAATGTTTGATCTGTGAATAAATATCTGAACTGCCCGCGACACTCAGCAGCATAAATATACATGAAGAAGAAACAGAACGACACCAAACACGTTACATTCAAAATACTTCAGTCGCTGCACACAGAGATCGCTTCATATCAGCGACAGGTCGGGATCAGGTCAAATCCATATTGCTAATTCCATCGTACAATCATTACGTTTGTATTGCTGATTGTTCCTTAAAATATTGCAATTTTTAGGTGAAGTTTTGTGCTTTTTTTTAAAATCCAATTTAACGTCAAATAAAAATTTTAATCAAACTGAACGGACCGATCCCGACCTGAGGAACAGAAATGCAGTAAACCTGAACAGAATCTGGACGGTGGATTGTGAGCGTCGCAGATGCCTGGTTCAGTTTGTCCGTACAGAAACAACATCCAAACTTCCAACACGCTACAAACGCACAAAACTTCTGGAAAACTAAACATCTGCACAACTTTTCAAGTATGACAGAATCTTCAGCACATTACAGATATAAAATGAAACAATCCATCCGCAGTATAAAGCTTCTTCAGTTTTTGTTTTTAGTGTTTCAAATCTGTCGTGGAAACAGATCAGACCGTCCTGAGTCCTCCGCAGGGACAAACGTTTACATATCATAATTCATGTGATACATTACAAGTCAACACACTTTATGCACTAAAAGCCTTGGTTTGGAAAAACATAGTTTGACAGCGATAAAAATGAACGTCAGTGGATCACAACGGGAGTGTTACAACATGAAATCAAAGGAAGAGGTGCACTCAACAAGGAAAATTTGTTAAAATACACATAGATAAATCCTCATTACAAAACATCTCCGTTTTGTTTCGCTAAAGCAAACAGTAGGAGTCAACTTTAAGGTCCAATCCCAATACCCCCTCTTGCCCACTCCCCCTTGGCCCTCGAAATGAAGCAACGAGGGGTAGGGGTAGAAATCTTTCTCTAGGAATTGGGACACCACTCACTACGTCAACGCGTCAGTTACGTTCACGTATACGTAACTATTTTAAACAGGAAGCTGCGAGCCATCTACATTTCCAACCATCTCCAGTTGAGTTCATCCTACCGATCATGTTTGCCGCATTCATCTTGCTTCTGCTACCTAGCTAGCTAGCTAACCAGCTAACATTACGAGGCAGCATAATTAAACGAGCTGGCGTGTTATCGTAATGTGAAAAATCCGACAGTTTTGCAGAACAGGACAGATGACAGACGCCAGATAGTGCGAGCTAGCTAGCTAGCTAACAAGCAACCTGACAACTGTGACATTAGCTACGTGTGAACTTTTTTCCCCGTCTCTTGCTTGGTGGTAACCATGGCGACGTCTACCCCTCGCTGGCAAGTTAGCATCTGCCCACTACCCCTCGTTATGCGATGGGTATTGTGACGGGCCCTTAGTCCCAGAGAGCAATGCTGTAAGAAACAACCAGAGAGCTTTACCGTCCAAATTAAAGGTTAAACTACCTTTATTGAGTGTTTTAATTCAGTCGACTTTATAGATGCTCTTCACTGATACATACCAACTGTGTGTCTCATATCGCATACTTCTGTACTAATACCTCATTTCTTCTTACGTATGTGTTCAGAGACGAGGCAACGAGAAGTCCGTTCATTCCTATCTTGGAATCTCGGTGATATCCGATGTGCCTGCGCATATTCCAAATTACTGGATGGCCAAAAACTGACAGACATGACAACACAGTGCCCCCTACAGGCTAAATTAGCATCGTACACACAATTTACACCGTGGATGGCTCCGATATTTGCTTTATATGTGGGCTAATATAGCGGTCAAATGTTATTTCGTTTACATGTGGGCTAAGATAGCGGCCAAATGTTATTTCGTTTACATGTGGGCTAATATAGCGGCCAAATGTTATTTCGTTTACATGTGGGCTAAGATAGCGGCCAAATGTTATTTCGTTTACATGTGGGCTAATATAGCGGCCAAATGTTATTTCGTTTACATGTGGGCTAATATAGCGGTCAAATGTTGGCGATAATGCTCCAGTGTCTGTTTGCAATTCGCCGTTTCAAAAAGAAGATGAAGAAGAGGCGGTTAAAACTTTGCTGGCGCGAACTGAGGCAACACCATGCAAGAAGTATAGTGCACTACTTTGAAGCGTACAAACAGAAGTATGCGATGTGAGACGAAAACTGAAATATTCCAAATTTTTCACAAATTTAATCTCATACATTTGGTCTTTTTGGAAACGTTGTGATCTTCAGTGTAATAAAGTTCTGTGGTTTTGAGCAGCTGATGGCCGAGGGGTGATTTTCCTGTTGTTGAGTGCAAACACAAACACACAAAACAAACTTCAATTGTTGGACGTTTACAGTATTCAAGCTTCTGTCAGCGCTGGCAGTGTCATTTATGATATTTGGAAACTCTTTCAACAAACAACCTGAACTTTGGCGAACTTCGACATTATTTCCTCAGGTTACAAAAAATAAAATCAAATAATACAGTTAAACTGTAAAAAAAAAAAAAACAGTTTTTGGGGAGGTGACAACAAAAACAGTCATTTAAAAGCAAAACAAAAAAAACTTTAACTCGTATTTAATGTTTTAAATTCATCTAAATGTCGTGTTTAAATTGAAATACTGACAGTTTCCAGAGTGAAATCTACGTCCTCGACTACAGAAAGACAACTATACACCTGTATATATTTACACTAATGTATCCTCGACTCACACACACACACACACACACACACACGCTACATGACTGTACACTTTATCTTCAGTAGATAAATAAGTATCACACACACACTGAAGTGTTTGGGGGAAGATACATTCCACCACGCTGTGATGATGAAGTGACAAACCCGGGGTACCAAACGCCTGCTACTTCCTGTTGTCATGGAGTCCGTTGACCTACCAGCCGCAGCTGAATTTACCCAGCATTCAACGTGGCGGCTGGTTGCTTCCTACAAAGCTACAGAGCTGATGACGAGATACAGAAGGAGAACTGAAATAAAAAGTACATTAATATACAAAAAACCAACGACATCTACCGGCATGAGGCGGGGTGGCGGCTGCCCTGCGTGTACGGTTTAAGTTAAGGGATTGTTTCCACTGTACAGTTTGAAGTGTTTTCCTCTCTGATCCACATTTAAGACGTTTTCTCACAGCCGTCCAGCCTCTCGTCTTCAGCTCGTTTCCCTCAGAGCAGACCGTCCAGGTTCTTCTCTGCGTTCTGCTTGTTGTCCACGTTTTCCTGAGGGCTGTACTGGGTGTGGTAATCGCGGAGGATGGTCACCACGTCGTGGTGGCCGAAGTGGACGGCTTCGTCCATCGGTGTGTTCCCCCACCTGCAGTGAACAGAGGAGGGTCAGAGCTGTGTCGGAGGTCCAATGCGACATCAGACATTTAATGTGCCTGATCGATCAGCTACCAAAGCTTAGTTTCATTGATCAGTTGTTTCATCAAGTCGCTTTTTTTAATGTTTAGATGAAGTTTTCTGATGCTCACCTGTCTCTGGGAACTGGGTTGACTTTACAGGCCTCCAGCAGGAAGCGGACCACCTCAGCGTGCCCTGAAACACACACACACACACACACACACCTGTCAGCTCCGCAATAATGAGAAAGACAATCAATACCTTAACGACGTCACCTCCTCAGAGTTTTACCTTCAGCAGCCGCCACATGCAGGGCCGTCCTGGAGTCGTAGTCTCTCTGCTCCATGTCCATGGAGGACAACGCAAACCTGGACAAAGAGCACACAAAACACAGCTCATGAAACCGTCCACTGATCAGACGACTACAGAAAGACGTCAGTGTGGATGTGGAGCGAAGAGTCACCTCCTCAGGGCTGAGACGTCTCCGGTGTACGCAGCAAACAGCAGGTTGATGACAGACTTCACCTGAAACACAACAAGCACATTCAAGTTACACAATGAGGTGAGGTTACAGTGATCGTCCACCGGGTGGCACTGTGGGCCAAAATGTGAGCAGACACAAGGTCACGCAGCATCCAGAGAACACAGAGCGACAGGATGTGACGCACGCACTGTTACACCGTGACGTTTCACGCTGATAAATAAATGAGAGGAACATTAGAGTGCAGTGTGTGAACGTGATGATGTCACAGGGTTTATGAGCTGCAGGAGGAAATGATCACGCCGGCGTGATCAAATCATGTGACTAGTTTATGACGTCACTGCACGACAACGAAACCCCGTAGAGCGCTACCGTCAACTTCTCTGGAAAGTGCGGACTTGAAACTCCATGACAGTTTCTGTTTTATGTTGATACACCAAGTAAAAACGGAAATATGATAGTTTAAAGTTGAAATAAAAAGTGAGAGTGAGGCGGATGAGAGAGGCAGGCGATAGAGTAGTGAGCGATAGTTTGAGAGAGTTATTGGGAAGATTCGGAGTTGTTTTAGGATTTAGAGTTTATTCGTGAGGAGTAGAGGATGTTGCCAGAATGGGTTTAGGAAGGGTCGTTCAACAATGGACTCTGTCATGAACTTGGATTTAGATATAAAGAGAGCAATAGCAAACAAAGAAGCAGTTGTAGCAGTGTTCATTGACATCGAAAAAGCATATGATATGTTATGGAGAGAAGGACTATTAATCACTTTACATGATGAAGGTGTAAGAGGAAGACTTTTTAATTGGATTAAGGTTTTTTTATGCAACAGTACAATATAGGTCAAAGCTGGTAGTGTGTTATCTGAAGAGGTGGAAGTGGAGAATGGCACGCCCCAGGGAAGTGTGATCAGCCCTGTGCTCTTTAACATTTTAATCAATGGCATATTTAGTACAGTGAGCAAGGATCTAGGTTTGTCATTATTTGCAGATGACGGAGCTATTTGGAAGCGAGGAAGGAATCTCAGTCATATCTTCAATAAAATGCAATAATGCCTGGATAAAGTGGTTGATTTGACTAAAAAATGGGGATTTAAAATCTCTATAGACAAAACAAAGTTCATGGTGTTTGGATATAAAAAGAAAATGCCAGATAAAGGTTTGATGATCAGTAGTCATACTCTAGAAAGGGTTCAGAGTTTTAAGTATCTCGGAATGTGGATGGATGAAAGAGTGACATGGAAAACATGTAGAGAAAACTGCGCTTAAATGTGAAAAAGTAATAAATGTTTTAAGATGTCTGGCAGGAACTGATTGGGGGGCTGACAGAGAAACCATGCTGATGATCTACAGAGCAATGATTCGATCTTGTATAGACTATGGGTGTGTAGTATATGGGTCAGCAGCACACACAACACTGAAAGCACTGGATATTGTGTAAGCAAAAGCCTTAAGAATATGTAGCGGAGCATTTCGAACTACCCCAGTTTCAGCTTTATTGGTGGAAATGGGAGAAATGCCATTGGGAATAAGGAGGGTTAAGCTTGGGCTCAAATATTTGATGAAAACAAAAGGGCAAGATGAGTCTTTTCCAACTAAAACACTGCTAGACCAACATTGGGAATTTGGGGGGAGGAAAAGAAGAATTAAAGTTAATTTTGGAGTCAAGCTAAAAGATAATGCAGGAAAAATAGGCATTCTGGAGAAGAAAGTATCTCCCCCAGTCTGCTGGTCAACTGTTCCACCATGGCTTTTTACAGAACCTGAGATTGATATGAGATTTTTAAATAGTAAGAAGAGGGAAAAGGACGAAAACATCGTTAATAAAATTCAAAAGCACTTGCAGCAAAAATGGAGGTCACATTTACAGATATATACAGATGGGTCAAAAGAACCAGAAAGCGGGAGGGTGGCAATTGGCATAGTAATCCCCCAGTTAGAAGTAAGAAAAGGCTATAGGATATCAGATCACACTTCAGTATACACAGCAGAGATGATGGCAGTTTTGAAGTCTCTTCAGTGGGTGGAGGACAATAAACCAAGTTATACAGTCATATGCAGTGATTCAGCAGCAACTATACAGACTATAAAAGAGGCACGTTCTAAGTCCAGACCTGACTTAATAACAGAAATGTGCCTAATATTGTATAGAATTAACAAAATGGGGTGTGAGGTGGGGTTCATCTGGGTACAGCACATGTGGGCATACAGGGAAATGTGGCAGAACTCATGGGATAAGGAAAGCAAAGGCAGGATATTTTATAATATACAAAACAACATAGGGAAAAGCAATAATTGCTTTGGTTGCGGCCCTGACTGGGAAGCACCCGGACGGAAGAAATACTCATCTCAAAGGAGGAAACTGTTCAGAGAACTGGGAGCAGCTGGAGAGGCTGTTTTTAACATGAACACACTGCTGAATATGGAAGACTGGAACAAGATGAAGAAGCTGCTGCAGTATCTACACTACAATGGAATAACAACAGAATATGATTAAACACTAGAAGAAATCGCATGGAAACAGCAGAGGGCAGCAATACGCCTTAGATGCGTCTAGTCTGCCGAAACCAAAGAAGAAGAAGAGGCGGATGAGAGAGGCAGGCGATAGAGCAGTGAGCGTGTTTGAGAGAGTTTTTTTGGAAGATTTGGAGTTGTTTCAGGGTTTAGGGTTTATTCGTGAGGAGCAGAGGATGTTGCGGACACTGAATGTAAGACAAGCCGTGGACTTGTTCTTCGAACCGGAGGAGCAGGAGGACGAAATGTGCGTTTCACCGTCGGAGTCGGAGAGTGACTGTGACGATGAAGCTGAGGATCCGTCCTTTGTGGCGGACGACAAGAGGTGAGTCAAACTGCTTATCGACATTTAGTGCTTTTGTTTTTCTTATTACTCTCTTTGTAAACGTGTGCTGTGTCATTTTGTGACACACACACCTCAAATAAAATATATTTTACCGCGGGAAAATATTAATATTTTAATAGTAAATAGTTATGTTATTGTTGTTTATAGTTTGATTTTATCTCAATTTGACATTTTTTTAAAATGTGCAAATTACACTGAACTCAACTTTTTACATTGTGTTATTGTCATGTACATATACAGAGATGATGAGCAGCCTGGGACATCTACAGCCCCAGCAACAGGCAGAGGCAGGGGGCGTCCGCGTGGCAGGGAGAATAGATGCCGGTCTAGATCTCCATGTGACCGGTCATCCCAGCCACACCACAGCCCTGAGGCCTGGAGAACAGAGAGTGACCCTGATACTGCTCCAGGAGTCAGCAGGTTCATGCCCCACAGACCACCAGGAGTCCAGGTGGACATGCACTCGGTATACACACCGAAAGATCTGTTTCAGCTTTTCTTCTCCACTGCCACCGTGAGGACACTCTGCAGGAACACCAACAAATATGCAGCAATACAGCAGGAAATGGGGAAGAAGTACAGCTGGGCTGACGTCGAGGTTGAGGAGCTCTATAAATTCTTTGGCCTTCTCATGTACATGGCATTGGTGTCACTGCCATGTCTCCAGGACTACTGGAGACAAAAGCACATCCTGTCTGTGCCGTTTCCAGCCATGGTCATGACGAGAGACAGGTTCAGGTCCCTGATGTGGAACATCCACCCCAGCGATCCAGAGGAGGATGTCATGAATGACATGAAGAAGGAAACACCTGATCATGACAAGCTCTTCAGGGCAAAACCCCTCATGGATGAGATCCGCACTGCGTGCCAGGCTCATTACCACCCAGGGAAGGAATTGGCTGTCGACGAGCGAATGGTGGCAACCAAGGCAAAAACTGGCCTGACCCAGTACATGAAGGACAAGCCAACAAAATGGGGGATCAAGCTCTTTGTGTTGGCTGAGTCAAGCAATGGCTACACTGTCAACTTCAGTGTGTACGGTGGGAAGTCCAGCTCGGCCAGTGTGCATGGACTGTCGTATGACGCTGTGATGGACCTCATTCAGCCGTCATATCTTGGGACTGGATACCATATTTATATGGACAACTTCTACACCAGTCCCAAGCTGTTCCTCGACCTGGCCAGCATGAAGTATGGTGCGTGCGGTACCTACAGGGACAACAGGAAAGGGTGTCCCCGTGGAAGAGCAAATGCCCTCACCCCAAAGTCTGAGAGAGGTGCTGTGAGGTGGATCAGTGAGGGCCCCCTGCTGTTTGTGAAGTGGATGGACACGCGGGAGGTGTCTGTGTGCTCCACAATCCATCCAGCATTTTCTGGTGAGGTGGTCCAGAGGAGAGCAAAGGATGAAGATGGACGCTGGGCAGTGAAGGAGATTCCCTGCCCCACCCCTGTCATGGCCTACAACAAGTGCATGGGTGGGGTTGATCTTTCCGACCAGCTGATCCAGTATTACTCCACCCACTGCAAAACTGCTCGCTGGTACTTGACGCTCTTTTTGCACTTTGTGGACATTGCAGCAACAAATGCATACATCATGCATTGTGAGATGAGCATTAAACAACAGGTGCAGCCCATGACTCATAAGAACTTTCTTACCCAGCTGGTGTCTGAGCTGTGTGGTGTGGACAAGACTGGGACTCCTATCAACAGGAGCAATCATCATGTTCCTGTTGCCATCGCCACTGTCACTGATGCCAGCCAGAAAGCCACTCAAGGCCGCAGGGTATGCCAACGCTGCCACCAGGTGGACAAAAAGAGGAACCTGACGCCATGGCGATGCAAGTCCTGTGATGTGCCCCTCTGTGTCATTGTTGACAGGAACTGTTTTGAGGAGTGGCACNGTGGACAAAAAGAGGAACCTGACGCCATGGCGATGCAAGTCCTGTGATGTGCCCCTCTGTGTCATTGTTGACAGGAACTGTTTTGAGGAGTGGCACATGTTAAAAAAACATCAACAAAAAGATGCCTTGCTTTAAGTTGTTATTGTTGTATATAGTTTGATTTTATCTCAATTTGACATTTATATGTTACTTGTGCACTATTTAGGAACCCCTCACAGTCTGTCAGTGTTATATAGCTCTCTGTCTAATCGTGGCCAAAATGAAAAAAACAAAAAACAAAAAACATCTGTCTTCACCTGGTTTTTGTTGGGAATAGTTGTATATAGCTTAATTTTATCTCAGTTATACTTTTGTATGTACACATTTACAACTTCTGTTTAACATTTTCTGCCTTTGAATTTTTTCATTGAGCATGTTTGAATTTTGTCTAGTAAAGAAATTGATTTATTTTTCAAATGCGATTTTGTGTTTTTGAGTGTTTTTGGGTCTAGTATGTTAATATCAGTGTCAGAAATTAGCAAGGGCCACGGGCCATTTGGCCCGCAGTTTATCCAAGAATGCCCCCAAAAGCCATGTTTTCCGGGGGCCAAAATTGCCCCCAAGTTTTCGAAACAAATATATGTATTTATATTTTTAACAGTATTACAATCTGACATTAAAGTATAATTTTATTTTCATTAAATTAATTTACCGTTGCATCTACAACTCATTTTCCAGACATAATCAACGAGATTGCACTGATTACGTGAGAGTAATCTGACAGAGAAGGGGAGGGGGCTTTGCTGTACCATAAGTTTAAACTAACCATTTCTTGGGTGATCTGTGTCGACACAATGACAAATTAATGAAAAATTAAGGTAGAATGAATGTTAAATTTTAAATTAACTTACTTCCAGGATTGCATCTAAGGAATTTATAGTAATTTGGCCTTTTTAACAGTAAAAGTAACTGTAATGTGGTGAAACATTAGTACTGCTATCAGTAGATTAATGGTTAAATCATCACATTTAAACTGGTTGAATTATAGGAAATCTGAGTGATATTTTGCAACCATAACTTTATGTAACCCATTATGTTTCATTTATAGTGGTTTCTACTGAAGAGTGAAGACACTATCTTAGTTGGTTTTGCTTTTCATGTGTTTATTGTTAGAACATAATTACAATTTTTTGATGGCCCCCAAACATTTTGAAAATGGCCCCATTTTTTAGACTGTGGGGGCCAAAATTGCCCCCAAAATATTTTGTTAATTTCATACCCTGGTTAATATAGTATGTCAGAGTGGAAGAATAATTTTCTGGTCATATAGCTACGGTTGTGCTGAAAAAAAAAAGATATCAAACATTGGCATGACAAACATTTTTTCATGTGGTATATAAAGGCAAAAATCAAAAGTATACAAAATGGCCAAAATAGCCCAAGACCCTCAAGGGCTAAAGATGCTGAGAGGAAGAACAGCTGCAGGGACTCACCCTCTGGTCTCCGCCCTCCCTGCGAGGATCCAGCTTCTTAGCAAAGTGTCGCAGGTTGTCGTAGTTGTGGAAGTTAAAGAGAGAAACCAGGTCCTGAAAGAGAGTTAAAAACATTTAAAATGACACACACTGGGGTTTTTTTTACCTGTAATTTTATTTTTTTGAGAAGCTTCTCATCAAACTTTTATGAAATTTTTTTTTTTAAATCAAATTAGGAATTCTTTGGTGACTCTTTTTCCTTGTATTTTTATAATAATATTATTTATATTAATAAATAAATAAATCATGTTGACCTAAACTTACATCAGCTTTTAATGCTGTTTGTGATTATACATAAAATGACGTTTTCCCAAAAAATTAGCAAGAACTTAGTAAATAAAAAAAAGAAAATTAGAAAAAAAAGTTAAAAACAAGGAGCTTAAAATAATAATAATTATGTAATATAATTTTAAATATATAGTAATGATAATTATGAATATATTTTTCCCCCTAGCTAGAGTCAGTGTTTGGTTTGTCCGTTCTGGGCTACTGTAGAAACATGGCGGTGCAACATGGTGATCTCTGTAGTAGAGGACCCAGTCCCTGCGTAGATATAAAACGCTGAGAACAAACATGTATAAAGTAAAGGCGCAGGTTACCGTGCAGAACTGGATGCCTCTGACGCTGTTCCCCAGCTTGTCGAGCGGTGGAGACCAACACATGACGCCCATCACGTTTGGAACAACCAGCAGAATCCCCCCGGCGACCCCGGATTTAGCCGGCAGACCGACCTGAGACAGCAAAAGAAGAAGAAGAAGGAGGATGTGTTGAAGACATGCTCACGATTCAGGAGGAGCGGTGTAAGTGACGTGTGATGGACGAGGTACTGACGTGGAAAGCAAACTGTCCGGAGAAGTCGTACATGCCACAGGAATGCATCAGACTCAGAGTGTTTCGCACAGACTCAGGGCTCAGCACGCGCTCTCCTGTGATCGGACAGAAGCCGCCGTTGGCCAGGGTAGCCGCCATGACGCTGGCGCTCTCGCAGGTGACCTCGATGGAGCACAGCTGGTGGAGGAGACCAGATATTAGCAGTTATGTTTCAGTTAAGAATCAGCTAATTAAATCCCAGATAAATAATAATTCCTACAGAACATGTCGTCGGTAAACTCATCGTACTCATTCTACTCGACCTGAGCGCAGCATTCGACACCATCAACCACTCCATTCTTCTCTCCCGCCTTGAGACCACTCTTAACATCACCTCCTGCTCTGTCCTGGCTCACATCCTACCTCTCAGACAGACAACAGTTCATCAGCATTAACAAATCCCCCACTGCTCCCTTCTGCCAAGGTGTCCTCCAAGGTTCAGTCCTCGGCCCCCTCCTCTTCATCCTCTACATTCTCCCCCCTCAGTCACATAATCCGCCGTCATGGACTTCAGCTACACTTCTTCGCCGACGACATTCAGCTGTACATCTCCACCAAAGCCATCCCTCCCGCCACTCACTCTGCCCTCACCAACTGCATCACTGAAATAAAATCCCGGCTGCAAACCAACTTCCTCAACTGCGTGACGTGCCTAAAGGGATTCACGTCAGGTGAAATAGCTGCTATAAAAGTTCTCCAAGTACTTTTACTTTGTTTTGCTTGAGCTCCATTTACCTGGAAGTAGAAGTCAAGGATGGAGGTCATGTCCGTCCCCTCTGGAAAACACTGCAAGAGAAATGACACTGTCAACACGTCAGAAAACGCACCTGCTGCGAACTCACAAACCATGTCGACATTACATTATATAGTCTGTACACGGCAACAGGAAGAAGAATTTAAAATGTAAAACATTAAAGATTCACGTTGCAGTAAGAGTGAATTCTGTGACCCGTGTGCGCTCAGAGAGAAGACATGGCTCTGAGCTGCAGGTGACCTTTGACCTCACCTTCTTCTCCTTCAGGTAGTAGCCGATGGCAAAGTTTCTGTCTCCAGACTCTCGCTCTGACTGGAAACTGGGACACACACACACACACACACACACACACACACACACACACACACACAGAAGACGTTTGTTTCTGAGGCAGCATGACTCAGCTCAGCTTATATAAAACCGCAAAGGTCCTGACGGAGCTGTTTCCTCTGCGCTCTCGTCTCCAAGACGTCTTTTATCGTTTGTTTCACCGTTCAGCGTGGATAATAAATCAGTGAGACGTCGAGGAGTGTGATGTGTGTTTCTGTGTCGTACTCACGTGGCGTTGCTGAAGCCCACGTACTCGTTTCCTGCCAGTTTGTTCATGAAGTTCATGACCTGCAGAGCAGAGCAGCACATTTACACTGAATAATAAACCTCGTTTACATCAGCTCTGTGACAGCACAGTTTGTGTGCCATAAACTGCAGTTCCTCTCTTATGTCCACTTGGGGGTGGCTCTAAGAGCGAGTCAATCTCCATCGACTCCCATGTTAAAAATGAAATAAACATGTTCACAGCCTGGTACAAAAAACAGGTTTGGTCTCTATAGCTAATTTCAAATCTGTAAATTAAAACACCTTCCACAAAAACAAAAAAATACTTTTAAACCCACTAAATTATTTTTCAATCAGATCAAATATACAAAGTCCACAAATTTAAAAAAATATATAATAAAATGTGGAATTTGTGTATTAGGAGGTCTGTTGTATTTGCAAAATATTCCTATGGGTTAAAAAAAAAAAAAACACATTTTAATTACAAATTTTAATTAATTGTGAATCTCAATTTTACACTTGCAGATCGGTATTTTACGCACAATGAATTATTTTTTTTATTTTTTTTACATTTGTGTATTTATTTGCAAAATATTTTGTGGGTTAAACATTAAATATTTTTATTTTAATTTTTAAACCCACAGAAATATTTTGCAAATAAATACACAAATTCCACAATTTACAAAAAAAACCTGAATTATAAAATATCTGTTAAAAAGCTGTAAATGTTTAGAAAAAATATCTTTATTAATATTTATTTGTAAATAAATGTAATTTATTCACAATTTATTAAAAAAAAAAATACAAAAATTAAATTAGATTAAAATACGTAAAAATGTTCTTTGGGAATTGTGTCAGATTTTTGTTTTTCCTCTGACATTTTATAAATCAGACATTTACTTCAGTTTGTACACACGCCTTTAACCACAAATAAAAACATGCTATCCCGTTAAAGGTTTTTTTTTGGGGAGTTTTTCCTGATCAGCTGTGAGGGTCCAAAGGACAGAGGGATGTTGTATGCTGTAAAGCCCTGTGAGGCAAATTGTGATTTGTGATATTGGGCTTTATAAAAAAAATTAATTGATTGATTGATTGATATAATACTCACATAGTCAAATTTCTCAGCGTTGCTCGCCCCTTGCTGAAACACAAACACAATCACATTATTAAAAGCTTTTTAAATTGTATGTAAGAAGACATCAATGTGCCACTGACACTAACAGTAACCCATGTCATGACATTAGCACTATCATCATCCACATTAAACTAGGACAGGAAACAGTGTAAATTTACATCACTATTGATTTGACACTACGAGTTGATCAGTTATGTGACCAATCAAACCAGTCATGGCATCAGATGAATTAAGATTAGAGGTGGGAGACTAGCTGGAGATGAGGAGGTGAAACAAAACTGTTAATTCCCTCAGTTTCTGTCAAAGAAAAAAAAAAAAACTACCGTAGAAAATTTCAAAGGAAACAAAGTAAACTGACGACTCTACGTTAGCTTAGTAGCTGCTGATCAGAGTGTACAGGTGTGTTTGTCGAAGGAAGCAGGTGAGTTAGTTTAAGGTGTGTTCACACTGCGAGCCACATGATCGACACGTCACACGACCTTCTCTGGGTGTGCAGCATTTATAAAAAGTGGAATTTCACGAGGCAGAGGCAGTCGGACAAGGAGGTGTTTTAAGATGCATTATGGGAAACGTAGGATCCAGTGTTTTTAAGTGATTTTTTGGAGCTATTTAAAGGTCATATGTATAGCTGTTTCATCAGAACGAATATTTTTAAAAATAATACATCCATAGAACATCTAGAAAGGTGTAGAATTAAAGTCTATATTTTCCTGAAAAAAATAAGTACAGTAAAGAAATAATTGTTTTAGAAATTTTGACGGGTCCAGAATATTTTGATTTGGTTACGTTGGTTACGTTACGTTGGCTGCAGAGGTATGGCGTCGTCCCAGCGCTATCCGTCGCAAATTCTAGCCGACCAACAGAGAAGCAAAACCAGTATCAACATCAGTTCAGCTTTTGATCGCTGGTGTCAGCTGAAGGCAGAAAAAGGGCTAAAAAGCCACGCAGAGGTTGCCGCTTTCCTTCTGCACAGGTAAGCTAATGTTTGCTAACTAACGCAGCAGGGTTGTAAAAAGATATCTGCTGAATATATCTAATATCTAGTAAAGCCGAACTGGTAATTACACTGCACCTAAATGAACTAAAAGTTAAAATGTCGGCTAATTTCAGATATTTTACCTAATACTCTAGTAACGGCGTTTTTGGGACGGTAATGTTAGTTTTTTGCGGCTTGTTGTAAAATAGTGTCGTAAAAAGATATATCTACTGAATATATCAAATATCTAGTACAGCCGAACTATCATGTTATTATTATTATTATTATTGGTGGGAAATTAAATCAGAGGAATATATTTGGCGTTTTAATATCAAGAACATTTTGGTGTTTTTGTGTATACAGGACGTTGTTGAATCAGGGAATTCGTGTGTCCACCACGACAAAGGATCCCAGTTGACTAATTACATTAGCATTAGTGACGAGTAGTGCTAAAAATGCTTTACGGGGATTGTACAGGGCGCACACAAGAGAGGATTCATGATTTATAATTATCATTTTTAAAAACTATACCACAAAAGACTCTTGACATTGCTGTCTGTCGTTTACGAACCTGGCAACCTGTAGAAATGAAGAGTGGAGCGAGAGCGGGCGAGTGTGAGCGCGACACCTACTGACCGGGAAGTATGAATCCTATATCTATTAAGAAAGTGACAGTCAAGTTTTTAACCTTGCCCTCGCACACACTGGACGCATCACGCTGCAGCTCGTCAACAGACGACCACACAAAGGCAAAGTTATTACTACTTTCACTGAAAGATCTGTTCTTCCTCTACCTCCACGTTAGCTTAAAATCATGTCAAGACAGCCCTGAGTTAAGATTTTAAATGAGGCAAATGAGTAGGGTTAACTTGGGTTTATACTTATGCGTTGAAGCTACGCCATACCTAAAGTGTAGGCTCTTTGATGATGCCCACCCTCCACCACAGCCGGACGTGCACCTCCCAATGACTGTAGCTACGTGTCGTGCCTTTGTATATCTCTGTAAGCTGAAACCATTTCCCTCAGTGGAAACGAAGCTTTTATTTAATTTCACTTATAAGAAACAATAAATTGTGAAGACATTAAAGCCTCCACATAAATGGCATTTATGTTTGTGATTGATCCTGGCTTCATATGAGTAGAGGAAAAGTCCGCTAGCCGCTGGGCTAATTTATGCAACTGAAAATGTCATAGGCTTGTGCTAATAACGTTAGCATGTTGTATTTGTGGGGAAACATGTCGTGTATAAGACAATTAATCTGTTTGTGAGTCTTGTGAGTTATAACGGAGCTGAAATTTGTGCTTTAGTTTAATATTGTCACTATTAAGACATGTTTTATGTTTTATGGTGTTGTGAATCAAGCAAACCTAGCATTTTGGAGCGTAGCGCCTATGTAAAACTATAAATCAGCCAATACATGGAAGTCATTTTAAGACATGCTGGGAGTTTTTGACGAATACAAAATTAAAAACATGTTGTTTTGATGGACAGAGATGAGTTTTAGGGGTTTCATTGGCCATGTTTCCATCATCCTGTTTAGATGCGCATCTAGAAGTTTCGCATCAGAAAATTATGATGGAAACGCCAAAATTCTAATTAAAATCCCCTGATTTGCACAAACTAAAATACGCTCGCTTTAGCTGGGTTTTGGTTGATTCGAAAAAATGTTGATTCGCAAAACGGGGGATGGAAACAGTTATGTTCGAATTAAGTCTGACGTAGCGCATCTCTCTCCATGGTGATATCCACACTCGGGGTTGGGAAGGCGGTAATGCATTTACAAGCTGGTTGCCAACCACCAGAAAACGTAGAAGAAGAAGAATGCGAGACTTGTTTTGTTTGCGGAAAATTCACAGGATTCGTATTTCTTTTAATGCGCATTTGCCAATGATTGGAATCACTTTTGGATGGAAACATAGCTACTGATCCTTGGACTTAAAGTCTACGTCTGTTGCTTCAACGTGTTATAAAGTTGTCCGATACTAAATCACTGGATCACCTCTTTAATACAATATCAAGATAAATGGTAAACACTCATCAGTTAGAGTGCAGGCCTGTTTGTCGTGCAGCTGGCAGTGTGAGTACACATTGTGGGTTTTATTAACCACTGAGGCCAACAGACAAAAACTGATTCTCTGACCTACGCTGACGAGAGTTAAATCTATCTGCGCTGACAAAATGTAATCTCAGCATATAAATGAAAACCACAGAAATCAAAAAACAACCTCCTCTGCAGAAAGAAATGGAGTATGATATAAAACCAGTGTTTGAATTCAGCCAGAGCTGTACTGTTTATAATGTATAAACAGTTTGGGAGAATGCAGGTGAAGAGTATAAAAGCCACATTGAAACATTCATAAACAGCCATGTGAAGGCTAAAAGCTTGTCACAAATCCAGACCAAAGAAGAGGGGGAAAATAATTAAAAAAGGAAAAAATTACCAACGTCATTGACCTGTTGCTGTGGTCATAATTTCCCAAAGATCCTAATGCTGTAAAATATGCAACAACACATAAAACCACACAACGAGCCTTGAAAAGGTACATTGCACATGAGTGTATTTGAAGTTTAGAGCGAGAGTCAGAGAGGGGAGGAGGAGGAGGAGGAGGAGGAGGGGAAGGGAGGAGGAGGGGAGGACGCATGCATGCACACAACCTGGTTTTATTATTCCGATCAATGGATACAATCAATCTGCAGCTACTGAGACCTAAACAGGGATTGGTTGGATCGGACCAACAGGAGAACTGTTTTCAGATCACACAATGACAATCATTCCCAAATGATGTGAACACAACAAAGGATGATGTCAACAGCTGTTCTGAGGCGTTTGGACTTGAGTTGGGTTAACTAATCAACACCTCATTGTGTCACTACAAATCAAAAACAAGGACAACAACAGGATTGTATGGATTCCTGAGCATAAATGAAAAGCTAACAGGCTAACATCTGTTATTGAAGCTGGGGTAGGCAGTTTGATTCTGGCGTCACTGGGCAAAACTTGACTCCTGCACCTCCGAAAGGCTCACAGCTGCAGCTACAAGTTCATGTTTATGTTGCCAACGTTAGCTCGACTCTCGAATCACTGTGTGCTTTCCGCCTCACTCCCCGCCGCTGCAGACCACCTCCCGCCGGTTCAGAAAACTTTCTGTTGCTGCAGTTACACAGAATAGACCTGACACTGGTCAAATTTGAGCCACTAAAGCTGCTGACCGAATGTCCTGGGGAAGCAGCCCACAGCGGCGGAGAGTGAGGCTGAGGGACTGTGGGGTGGCTAGCTCGCTACTTTTTAGCCCTTTTTAAACAGGAATTGTGCAAATCTGCAGGAAAGCCCAATCAGTGTTTTTTCAGCATTGGCAGTATAAAAACAAAATCGGGGAGTGCAGCAAAATGCCGCCTACCTACTTTTGTTTATACAGAATGCGCCTTTTTCGGGGCAATGGGGGGCGTGAGCAAGTAACAAAACGTGTAGCTCAGCGTGTGACGTAAACAGTGACGTGGGAGGGAAGCCGCGGCTGGTCAGTCCTTCGGCGATTCTCTCATAAGTCGGCCCGTTCTTCACCGTCCCTGTCATCTGACGGTTAATGGCCTCTTCGTTTGCAAGGACAAGGAGGGCGCGCAATTCCTTGTCTCCCCAGTTGCTCATCTTTACAGTGTCTTTCAGGTTTGTGTTTCCCTCTTGCTACTAGCTGCTCGCTAACTCCTGCTATCAGCTGTTTCCTGTTTATCCACCGCCAGTGGTTCTCACTTGCGGCGTCATCAACAGCTCCTCCCACAAGTCTTCAACAGTTCCTCCTGTTGTGGAAGGTCGCCTTGGTCTGTTTAAACTAAAAGGGTTCCGCCAATATGTCTACCCTACGAGGCAGAAAATTGGGCACCTCGGATCAACTCGCCAATCCGGCTCTGTGTGTCTAAACACTCGCAGCTTGCCGGCAAAACGGCCCAACATTCGCCGAAAATCTGGCAGTGTAAAAGGGGCTACTGTCTCATTTGTGGTCTGATAAACAGAGAGCGGAGCGAGGAGGGGCTGAGCTGGTGACTTATGATCCAGACGTCCGATGACTGAAATCCGTCATCTAATTAAAACATCTAGTTGAAAAACGACCAAGACCTGAAGCATGTTTTCTAAAAATGTGGCGTAAAACTGGATAAAAAGTTGCTTTATGAAGCTTCTGGCAGACAATCACCACTCTGACACATGATGTCACTGACAGGCGATGACAGCCAAATGAGACAGACACTCTTCTTGATTAAAATTACAGATTCTTGAAGCAGTGTCTCAGAGATGGAGATAAAAGCTTTCTTTAAGCTAAAGGCTCACGGCTGTGGCCTCTAGCTAACATTAGCTAGAGCCTCGAATCGCACTGTATCTTCCACCTCACTCCTGCTGCTACAGAGCACCTTGCCAGGAGGAGAGTGGGCAGCAACCGGAATCCTGATGGATCGTGAAACGTTCTTTCGTTCGACCTGGCGCTGAGGTCTATTTCCTCCCAGGGAAGCAGTCCACAACGGTGGGGAGTGAGGCGGAGGGACTGTGAGGTGGCTGAGGACTATTTGCTCTTCCAGATTCCTGCCTACCCCGGCTGCAACTCTTGAAATATATTTGGCTGTAGCTTTTCAACGAGTCCCTGAGATTGCTGAGAGACGGTGTCTGTGTTGCTCTCCTGGTTTATGTCCTGTGACATGCAGCAGATCCTACATCGCTTCATTTACACGTGAATGAAAAGTGTCGTTCAGCTGTTGCACTCGGGTCTTAAAGGACTCTAAATGTGTCCAGAGACAGTTTCTGAGGAGAGGCAGGTCGGATTCATCATAATTAAACTGCTCCTCATCCTGCAGGGACACCTCCTGATCTCAGGTCAGCCACTCAGGGTTTTAATTTAAATCAGCAGCTGGAGCTCTGGTGTGTCTGACAGAGTGTGTGTGAGGGTCGGAGGAAAGAGCAGTGGGCCACGCTGGTCTCCATCTCCACCTCCGCCCATTCTCTAAACTGTCTGTGTGCTGGATATCCGAGCGATGCTGCTTTCGACCAAATCCCCTTTCAGCGTGTTTATCTATAACCTTAATCTCCCCCGTATTCCCTAATCTGGAGGAAACACGTTCTCCAGACGATTATAATTCTGTTTCATACACTTCCTGTCAGGACACGACTTTTTAGCTGCAGTTAGAAGTTCAGGAAATGAAAACCACTCACAATCTGGAATCATTTTAACAACATAAAACTCTTTTCTGAAACTCTTAAATCACCTAAAAACGTCTGTGTTTGAGCCGATCAGTTTCTGAACAAATGTTGTGAAGCATTCATGAGAGGTGTGTAAACGCAGCTTACCTTGATGAGGGAGGTACAGACAATAGCTCCAGCATTAACCATGGGGTTGTGCGGCTTATCTGCAGGAGAGGAAACACATTTTTTTATTTTTCTAAATATATTTTTATACACTTTAATGTATAAATTATTAATTCAGTTTCATTTCATTTAATTGACAATTAGTATGACTTTTGTTTTATTATTTTATATTGTATTATTTCATTTTTATTTTATTATTATTATTATTATTATTATTATATAACTTATAATTCATAGTTGTACATTTTTATTATGTTATTTTTATTATTATATTACTATCATTATCATTACTTTATTTCATCATTTTATATTTTCATTTTTTTTAAATATTTTTAATTTTTTATTTTATATTTCTTCTATTATTGTTATTATTATTATTTGTTTTTTGTAGTTTTACATTTTATTAGGTTATTTATATTTTATATTATTACCACTCTTATCATTATTATTAGTATTACTTTTATGTATTTTATATTTTTATAATTTTATTCTTATTTTATCACTATTATTATAATTATAATTATTACTATTATATTACTTATATTTAATAGAGTTACTTTTTTTTTAATTTTACTTTATTAATCCCCCTGAGGGGAAATTCATTATTATAATTACTTTTATTTTATCATTTTATATTTTTATATATCTTAAAAATGTCCAGTATTTTATATTTATTCTATTATTATTGTTATTATCATTATCATTATCATTATTATTATCATTACTTTTAGTATAGATTTTAGTATATTAGATTTTTATAATTTTAATCTTATTTAATTATCATATTTGAATAATTATTATTATTATTATCATTATTGTTATTATTACTTGCATTAGTTGACTATATTTTATATTATCATTATTATCATTATTATTATTGTTAGTAGTAGTAGTAGTATTTATTTTGACTTTGTGAAGTTGTATATCAGGGAGAAAATAAAAGAGGAGCCTTTTATAGAAACAGAAAAGTGGAAACTTAGAGCACAAATTAATTTAGAAATAACACATATTCATGAAAGCAAATAAATAAATAAAATACTAAAAGTAAAGACAGGACGTTCAGGAACGTTTTTACACCGGAGGTCAAAACACTGTAGAATAATCCACTGAGTGAACATCAGCCTAACGAGGTGTGTGACCGCACAGCATCATGACAGCACACACACACACACACACACACACACACACACAGAAACTAAACACAGTGTGTGCAGTGTGTTTTAATCCTCTCATGAAACAGAACAGGACAATGTTTGGAAAAAAAATCATCTAAAAATAAACAGCTGGATTATTTCCGCTGCCGGGGAGTAATCTGCTCTGTCAGATCACAATGACAGGAAACCAGGAAACTTTCTCACACCAGCTTCCTGTCAGGAACAATCTGGTGCCTGAGGCTCCAGCTGAACATTTAAATGGAGTCTGGTGGGTTTGGTGATTTCAGCCTGAACGCTCACAGCTCCTCGGTGCGTCTCAGACGTCTGTGGCTGAGCTGCGCACGTCATCCTCAACACTGAGTCTTTGTGCTGCTCGGCCCCGTCTGGTTCGTACACAGCCACGTGCCAGCAGCTTGTCTTCATCCAGGTTATGATGAGTCTCTGTTACACACTGGCCGCTCTGTTTTATTCTGCTGCAACCTCTCATTAACTATTTACTACAGCGCCATGGCAACCAGGCCTGGAGACGGATCCTCTTACTGCGAGTATGTGAGTGTTGAAGAGAAAGTTCAGCCACAGCTGGCTGAGTCACAACACAGTGTGTGTGTGTGTGTGTGTGTGTGTGTGTGTGTGTGTTCCTCACCTTCCTCGTTCAGGAAGAGCTTGTTGAACCGCAGGCCGCTGGGCTCTTTGCCGATGAAGCGGTGCACGTACTCTGTGCCGTGGTCGTGAACGGCGATGGCGTATTTCAGCGGCTTCACGCAGGACTGCAGGCAGAAGGGAACCTTGGTGTCGCCCACAGTGTGCCTGAGACACACACACACACACACACACACACATATCTGAGGAAGGGTTCAACCAACCAAGTGTAACCATAAGTGTGTTGACACTACTTTATTCTCATCACTGCAGATGAGGTGCGAACAGCAGCTCAACAGACATGAATAAACATTTGGACCTGACCTCTGTCCGTCCACGGTGCACAGGGCGACGGCCCACAGGTCCGGGCTGAAGCGGGCCAGCTGGGGAATGTAGTCGGCCACCTGCAGCATCACACCCCAAGGTTGTTACAGTTATCGCCTAATATTGACAGAGATGCTTGTGTTTGTGCGGTCGTCTGTCGCCGCCACTCACCTGCCCTCCTGACATGTTTTTGGCGTTCTCAAAGAGCTCGTCCATGTGGGCGCAGAAGGGCTGGAAGTCTGGGATGACGAACTTCTTCCTGAAGGCCTGGGTGAGCAGGACGATGTTGCTCTGGACACACCTGAGACAGGAGACAGGGCGACAGTGAGCCAGGAGTCAGGGAGCTGGGTGGTTAATTCTCCCAACAGTTAACACTTCAGACTTTGCCTCAACCTAATTATCACATTGGCTTTACGCTCTTCAGTGTGGTAAATCTTTGCTGGCTGAACTGGTCCCGTTCTTCACACACCAGCTGCCACTGAGACATCTGCTACTGGAGTCAAGTATCAAGTCATTAGCAGTGTTGTCTTTTGGAGCCTGTTTGCTTTTCTGGCTCACTGCCTTTATTTCCACGGCGAAAATCTCCTGGTGACTTTTCAAAATGAGCACGCCGGGAGGATTTCTGCACCTTTGTTTAACCTCTTCCACTCTGAGGGGACGCTGACGTCCTCGGCCAGGATCCCTGCAGCCTTTCAGAGTCTGGAGCGGGCTGAGTTTTAAAGGAGTGAAGATACAAGTCAGGAATTCAGTGCAGCAACCATGCCATGGTAGCTTGTCGGGAAGGGGGCTAAAAAAACGCTCTCAAGTATGGCCAAGGTTGTCCGTTGTCACCAATCCTGTTTGTGACCTTCATGGACAGGATCTCAAGGCGCAGCCGGGGGGAGGAAGGGGTTCGGGTCCGGGTTGGGGGGAGAGTTACTGCCTCAAGAGTGGGAGTTCAAGTATCTTTGGGTCTTGTTCACAAGTGAGGGTAGAACGGAGCGTGAGATGGATCGGTGGGTCGTTGCGGCTTCTGCAGTGATGTGGGCGCTGCGCCGGAAACCAAAGCTTTCGACTTACTGGCCCTTCTATGTCCCAACCCTTACCTATGGTCATGAACTCTGGGTAGTGACTGAAAGAATGAGATCGTGGATACAAGCGGTGGAAATGAGTTTCCTCCATGGGGTGGCTGGGCTCAGCCTTAGAGATAGGGGGAGTAGCTCAGAGTAGAGCTGCTGCTCCTTCGCGTCCAAAGGGGTCAGTTGAGGGGGTTCGGGCATCTGATCAGGATCCTCCTGGGCGCCTCCCACTGGAGGTGTCCCGGGCACGTCCCACTGGTAGGAGGCCCCGGGGCAGACCCAGAACATGCTGGAGGGATTATATATCTCATTTGGCCTTGGAACACCTCGGGGTCCTCCAGGAGGAGCTGGAAAACGTTGCTGGGGAGAGGGACGTCTGGGGTGCGATCCGCGACCTGGCCCTGGATAAGCGGAAGAAAATGGATGGGTGGAAGTAAAGCGAAATTTTGGCAAAGGGGGTCCCTTGACCTCTCACCTCAAGGTATCTGAATAAAAACAGGGTCTATGGGTACCGACGAGTCTCCTCTTCACAGTCATGTCCACTTCATGCTACTCACATGCAGTTTCACCTATTGTATTTAAATATTTCTGCACACTGGGGTCCCTACACAGTCTTTAAATTACATAACCTGGGTCTGACTGTAAAGCTGAGCAGCCATTTCATTGCCTCCATTCCCTCTTAAAAGAGATAAAAATGGGTCTACAGCAGGGAGGGGTGGAGCAGAGGAGGATAAAGAACTGTATCTGTGCTCAGATTCACACAATGGAAATCTGCAGCAGCATATTTCCTGGTTTCCCCGTGTCATAATGACGAGATGACACTATAAAACACACACACGTCTATAGCACGCTCCTTCCTCCACCAATCTCCCTCTCAAATCCTGTCAGGTATTCCAGATTTCTATCCGAGCGCACCACAAGCAGTATGACTCATAATAAGGCGGTGCGGTAGCAGCTCTGCTCCTCTGGTAGCCGACAGATTTGTGGCTCAGCTATCTCACTGCATCAAACCCTGTCTAATCCCTGTAGCATGGGATCCCTGCGGAGAAAACACGCTACACTCCACCGCCCGCTCACGTGCGTCCCTCTGTGAGCCCCTGCTCTATAAATAAGCCCGGGGAGGAGCGGATGTGATGGATCCCAGCCAGGAGCGGTGGTGCTGGGGTCTGTTGGGCGAGGATACAGCTCCCTGGTGAGCCGTCATATACCCCACCTCTCGGCCAAGCTGTCAGCCGGCATCATTTCCTCTGGCAGGACACAGCAGCCCGGTTGTTTTGTTTTTTTAGCAGCTTGTGTATAAATGTTCTTAGACTACTATAACTCTGATTAATACTGACACTTCCTGTCTCAGTGCTGTAATAACGGACAGTTAGACGTGTAACAGTTGCCCTTTAAACAGAAGCAAAGACAAGCTGTTCATTATTTTCCCGCACGCTCACAGACACATTGATTTGACCTTTGGTGTGGGTTCGTGATTTCATTTCTGAGTTTCATAAAAGCTAAACTGATCACAGTTATTCCAGCGTCCTGTTTTCCCCCCAGCAGTCGTGCTCTTGACTGAATCCAACCTCAACAAGAAGCAGATGACAAACTGAGGAGCGATGAATAATTAATGTCGTGCAGTGACCTTATTCTGCTGCGGGGGAGTGCGGAGGACTCTGACCGCCATTAACAATTCTGATGATAGACTCTGATGAAAGATTGATGCTGGTAATAACAATGGAACCGACCAAAAACAACTTCCAAACACCTGCGATATCTGTAATCCAAAACTTACTTTTTGAAGAGGTGTCGGTCCAGTGCTCCATCAGAGGTCGTCTTCAAGGTCACCTTCAGCATCTCCATACATTCTTTCAGCCGGGGGTCTCCCGTGCGAAGCCCCGTGGCTTTAAGAGCCTGCACAGAGGGGAGAGGAGGGGGAACATCATGATTAAGACAGCCCGACAACAAATCAATAAGCCTACGAGCCGTGAGCTGAGGGGCCGAACCAGAGGAGTCACCCTGCTCATAATTCAACCAGAGAGAGAGCTACAAGGAGTAGCTGCTGTTTAATGACCCGCAACACTCACGTTTGTTTATCTGCCGTAAATCCTACAGCCTGGGTCCCTTTATTTATTTGTAAGTTTTGAGAATTAGCACCTTGTGGTTGTCACCAGTTCAGTATCTGACCAAATGTCTCCCCTTCTGTTCCTGAGATATTACGCTGAGTAATGGACAGAAAAGTCTTTTATGCAGAACATTATGATGTCACAGTGAAGTTGACCTTTGAACTTTTGGCTATAAAATGTCATCACTTCATCATTTCATTTTATTAGATGTGTGCAAAATTTGGTCAAGATTAGCACATAATTCTGGAGTTATGGTCACAGTGAACTTTGACCACTAAAGTCTACTCATCTCACTGTTGAGGCCAAGTGGGCATTTGTGCCAAATTTGAAAAAATAAAATCCTTTAAGGTGTTTTTGAGATATTGTGTATTGGACGGGGTTGTAGTGACCTCAACCTTTAATCAGTTCATCCGTGACTCAAAGTGGATGTTTGCGCCAAATCTGAAGAAATTCCCTCTAGGTATTCTTGTGGTAACACATTCCACAATAACATGGACCATAAAAGTCTTATCAGTTCATTGTTGATTCCAGGTGTATGTTTGTGCCAAATTTAAGGAAATTCCATCGGCCTGTTCTTGTGATCTCGCCTTTAACAAGTATAAAACTGATGCAAGGTCACATTGACCTTGACCTTTAACCACCAAATTCTAATGATTTCATTGTTGCATTCAAGTGGATGTTTATGCAAAATTTAAAGATGTTCCTCAAAGGTGTTCGTGAAAATGCGACGGATGCCGCCACAGTGACCTTTACCTTTGACCACCATATTGTAATTTGTTTGTCCATGACACAAAGTGGATGTTTGTGCCAGATTTGAAGACATTCCTGCAAGATGTTCCTTGAGATATTGCGTTCTCGAGAATAAGACAGATGCAAGGTCAAAATGCCCTTGACCCTTGACCTCTAAAATCTAAAATCAGTTCAGCGTTGAGTCTAAGTGGATGTTTGTGCCAAACCAGCAGAAATTCCCTCAAGGTGTTCTTGAGGTATTGTGTTCACAACAAGAGGAAGGAGGGACGGAAAATCCGAAAACATGACTCATCAGTTCGATCAATCAGTTCATTTTTGATTCCAGGTGAACGTTTGTGCCAAATTTGAAGAAATCCCCTTGCGGTGTTTTTGAGATATCGCCTACACGAGAATAAAATGGATGCAAGGTGACAGTGATCTTTAACCACCAAATTCTAATCATTTCATTGTTGAGTCTAAGAAGACGTTTGTGCCAAACCAACAGAAATTCCCTCAGGGTGTTATTGAGATATGGCATGTATGGCGGATAACCCGTTCACATGACTCTGTTTGATATGAATCATCTGAAACATAAACCCGTTGCTGCTCGGAGGACTCACTGTGGTGAATTTGTGTGCCGGGATTTTTTCCTGGCCCTCTGCGATGGTGTAGAAGAGCAGGTCCTCCAGGCTGGGCAGGATGCCTGCCTTCCTTCTCCTGCAGGAAAGAAAAATACAAACACACAGACGGGAAAGTGAGAAAAATAACTTGGCAGTGAGGCCCGTCGTGGTGGAAACATGGAGGGGAACTGCAGCGGAGGGAGGAGGACAAAAAGCTTATTGACTGCAAGGAGAAGCAGTGAGTAAGAACTGTAATACTGTACTGGAAAACACTACCTTACACTGACCTCAGGTCAGTATTATAACCTCCACAGGTTAACATGCTGCCATAAGGCCACTGTAATGTAAACTGTTAACTGTGTACTGTGCTTGAACACCAGCCAGGAATGTCTCTGTATAGATTACGCTAATCTGGAATAAACCCCAAACCCTCTGACCCAGAATGGAAATCCTTATTTGGCATTTATTTAGCCCGTTTTTTCTAAATCGTGGGCAGCCGCAAGCAAAGGCCAGAAAAACGGCAAATATTTCATGACGCAGTCTGATAAAGACGGTGCCTTACAGGCATCTCTGTCCACGCTGCATGTGTGAGGGTCAGTGTCGGAGCAGCTCAGCCTAATGAAAGCACAGTGTGTGAACTGTGATGACTGGGCCTCGACTTTTGCAGCTGTGACGTGGAAGCCTGCCAACGCTCTTTGCACATTGCTGCCATGTGGCTCGGCGGCTGGAAGCAGGCTGAGAGACGACCAGCCGCCTCCCACTCAGTGACAGTACAGTCTCCATGAAACTCCCCCTGAGAGCACACCCCTGGCTACAGGATCACAGCGTCCCAGCAAAGACTTTAAGTTTGTGAATCCAACAAGCTGTGAGGCCGGGCAATGCCATTTCAAATGACCCTGTTTTCATGACTTTATGGGGACAACAATTTTTGAAACTGGTCCAGCACTGAGCGGCAGAACAGGCTGGAATGTACCCGCTCAGGGCATGTTTGCACCGTCAAGTTACGTCTAATAAAAGTGCCTCTTTTTGTCACTGACAGGCTCAGATTGTTAGTATGAGTCTCTGACAACATTACAGAAAGGATCCCAACAGAGATAGACCTTTATGTTAAAGAGTAAGATCCTTTGTTGTTAAACCAGCAACAGCCACAGAGATAGACCTTTTAAAAATGGTCTTTCTCTGTGGGGATCCTTTCCATAATGTTGTCAGACACTTTTATTAACAATCTGAGCCTGTCAGTGACAAAACAAACACTTTTAGTGGACGTAAACTGAGAGTGCACCAACGCCCCGAGTCATTAGATTTCAGCTGGTTTCCTGTCTGCTGGCTGCAGCGTTCTCGCTCAATACTGGACCAGTTTCAAAAGTTAGATGTTTGCATTACACCCATTCTTTGTCCTGTAATTTGCAGCTGCAGTAACTTTGGTTCCCCATGGTTAAATACACTGATGCTCTCTATGATCTAGTTCTACGGCCTGGCTGGTGTTCTCAGCAGCACTTCCACACCGAGTCGTCTCTGGGAGGAAAGTTAGTAGCGTGTCAGGAGGCAGACGGGGCGACGAGCTCACAGCAGGCTCTCTGCTATGATTCATATCAACACCAAATTGGATTTGCGCAAAGCTCTGGGTGCCCAGGCGCTCTCTGTCCCTGCAATGCATCATGGGACACTGGGCTGTGTGCTAGGAGAGGATGTCTAAAAGGTAAAGCTTTAGTCGGCAGGTGGCTCCTTGCGGCTGCCAGCCAGATATAAAGCTGAGTTTGGACCCTTTGAGACATGAGAGCAGAAATCTAGCAGTTTGTCCGACTCGGCGGCGACAGGGTTTCCTCTGGGTTTATTCAGCAGCAGGGAGCCATCAGGAAATTATAATCCCCAACTGAGATAAACCGACAATAGACTGTGAAGAGCCACATTTGCTATTTGACAAATTAATTGATACTTAACCATCTTTATGCAATACATCTGTGCTTAAATTGAGATATGAGAACGTTGTGATCTTACTGTCAACAAATCCCATCAACAGACCAGAACCAACACACAACTTGTTAGCAGGACCAGTTTTAAAACTGGTTTTGGTCTTTTTATGGGATTCCTTGACAACAACAAGTCTCACCAGCCTTATCCTTTAGAGCAGGGACACTCAACTTGCTTTGCCCGGGGGCCATGTTATCTGAAGCGATGGAGCACAGCTGTGTTGTTGTCGGACCCTGGTTTGAGCTGAACCGATGCTACGTCATGATTCGCAAGTCTTTGTCCGGGGTGTGGACTTAGGGAAGGGTCATGATTCGCAAGTCTTGGTCCGGGGTGTGGACTTAGGGAAGGGTCATGATTCGCAAGTCTTCGTACGGGGTGTGGACTTAGGGAAGGGTCATGATTCGCAAGTCTTGGTCCGGGGTGTGGACTTAGGGAAGGGTCATGATTCGCAAGTCTTCGTCCAGGGTCTGGACTTAGGGAAGGGTCCATCATACGGTTTAAGCTCGTACACCGGACCGGCCAGTGTCAATCAATTTACTTTTATTGTGAATTTGAAAATGATGGGTCACACTGCGCCCGGCTGTAAGCTGAGTATCTCTGCTTTAGAGTACATCACAATTAATCCCATAAACCTGAGGGCTCACCATTTTCCTGGACCACGCTGCTGCACAATAACACAGAGGAAACACTGGGGCCAAGTCTTTATAGTCCATTTAAACAACATTATCTGTACTGACGGCTCCACTCAGAGTCAGAAAGTCTGGAATTCTCTGCAGGAAAACTGTGATTACAGGGGTCCAGGTCGGTTCCAGTTTTCCAGCTCGGAAACAAACAAAATAAAATCCCAACCGCTGAGAGTGAAAACTGGGCTTGAAGCGAGATTCATACAAAACAGGAAATCTGAATTCCCGACTTTCCAACTCATGTGTGGAACGCAGCGTCAATATGCAGTTAAAATCATTCTCATGCGCTCCGGATAAGCATGTAGTCGTGTCCTTAAAGACCAGGCAACTTTGTCATTGCTTGTTGGCATGGTCTGACCTCATTAATGAAGGTTGATGTCTGCTTGTGAGGAAGGAATACACATCAGAGAGTGTGTGTGTAGGGGAGGAAGGAGGAGGGATGAAGGTGAGGTAGAGGTAGAGGTAGAGGGGGGAGGGGATTCAAGCGCAGCCGCTGGGAGGAAGTGAGGTCATTTCAAGGGAAAAGCGGTTGTCGGCTTTCCGCAGAAAACCTCTACATCTACCGGAAGAGACTAAAACTTAAATGAAAAAATCGAAACATACTTACAAATGCAAAGCAAGCAGATCAACAACAGGGAGAGAGTGTGCAGAGGGAAGAATATTGCATTAGTGACAGTGATAATGACATTTGAACACATCAGCACAGCACTGCAACAATCAGCACTGAATACATGTACACAAATAATCAACACACAAGTATGAATACTGGTTCATCCATGACACAGTTCCTTCGGCGTGGTGATGCGGTTGATGGGTGCAGCTCAGCAGAAAGAAAATATTAGACTGATTTTAATGAAATATAATTGAAGGCAGAGTGAGTCCTTGTTTGGTTAATGAGGCCTGTGAGGTTTCACCTCTGGGAGCATCACCACCACAGGGTCGGAGCTGAAGGCCACTGGAACATCTGGATGGTCTCATTAATCCACCTCAGCTGCTCTCATTAGCGCTCTGGCTTCTCTCTCCGTGTTTCTAAAGGTCAGCTGTGATTCGACACACAGTTTGTCCAGAAAGGTGTAACCAACTCACTGCTGCTGCTCTGAGACATTAGCCCCTTTTACACTGCCGGATGTTTGGCGAATGTTGGGCCGTTTTGCTGGCAAGCTGCGAGTGTTTAGACACACAGAGCCGGATTGGCGAGTTGAGCCGCGTAGGGTAGTCATATTGGTGGAACCCTTTTAGTTTAAACAGACCGAGGTGGCCTTCCGCAACGGGAGGGGCTGTTGAAGACTTGTGGGAGGAGCTGTTGATGACGCCGCACGTGCGAGCCACTGGCGGTGGATAAACAGGAAACAGCTGATAGAAGGAATTAGCGAACACAAACCTGACAGACACTGTAAAGATGAGCAACTGGGGAGACAAGGAATTGTGCGCCCTCCTTGTCCTCGCAAACGAAGAGGCCATTAACCGTCAGATGACGGGGACGGTGAAGAACGGGCCGACTTATGAGAGAATCGCCGAAGGACTGACCAGCCGCGGCTTCCCTCCCACGTCACTGTTTACGTCACACGCTGAGCTACACGTTTTGTTACTTGCTCACGCCCCCCATTGCCCCGAAAAAGGCACATTCTGTATAAACAAAAGTAGGTAGGCGGCATTTTGCTGCACTCCCCGATTTTGTTTTTATACTGCCAATGCTGAAAAAAGACTGATTGGGCTTTCCTGCAAATTTGCACAATTCTGTTTAAAAAGGGCTACTGTGATGCACATCTGTTTGGGTCTGAGTTGCATATCAAGGCTTTAGAGTTTTGGGTCTCAATCAGCAAAAGACCAAACGTTCGTCGACCAGAAAGGTCATTAGTCGGCAAGATTTCATTGGTCGCTTAGTCGCAAAAAAAAAAAAAACAACAACAACAAAAAAAAAGTGAGCTCTGTTAGGAGCTGCGCCTTGTCAAAATAAATCAAAACCTACATGGCTGGACCATGTGGGACTTTAATTTGAAAGGACAGACACAGGAAGTGGCCACACATTGATTTTCAGGGGTGGTAGGACTGTAGAAGACGTTACCTGGGACTTGGGGATGTTCTTCTGGGCTTTTTCTACCATACTTTCTCACATTTTAAAGACGATTAATAGAGAAAAGGATTGAACAAACCTGCCGCTTTAGTTTCAAATTTAAGGATATACCTAACGATTGGCTTCCCTGACGTTTGAATGGAAGCTTAAACAGTGCTGAGGCGTAGCTGAGGGTAACGTTCATCGTTTTCAGAAGATGTTCCCAACGACTAATTCACCAGCTGTCTAAATATAAGTTTGAACTCAGACTAGTCGACTAGAAAAGAGTCTAAATTGAGCACATGTCAATTTAGGCTGTCATCTTGATAATGATAATGTAGACGTATAAACCAAACTACTTGTCAAATGTCCCCCTCTTCTGTATCTCATCGACCGGACACACTTAAGACACACTCGCACTGACAGGCCGTGGCGGTCTCTGTCTGCTGTGTTTATCTGACCCGGTCGATGGGGCTGGTTTCACTGCCTCACAGATGTCATGACAAATTGGCGTGGAGGGTGGAGCGCAGACATTAAAGCGACAGCGTTGAGAGGCGGCGCTGCACAAATCAATCCATGCGAGTGACTCATCTGCTCCTGGAGGCACTGACAACTGCCGGGCAGCGCGCCAACATCCAGGCTTTGGTGCAAAAAAAACGGAGGAGAAACGATGTGGGCGGGATAAGCTCCCCTGCATTACAAACATTTTTAACCCCTTATTAGCCGGAGCACAGCCTGGGGACCCTGGTAACCAGACTGGAGTGGAGGCTGAGTGCTGCTGGGGCCCCGGGGACTTGAAACAACACGCCGTGTATATTATATCCAGCAGACTGAATCATGCGGTGGTGACCTGATTTACTGACTCTTAACCAGGGTTAGTCTTCATGTCTGGGTGAATGTAGACCATGGTTCATCTCTGGATTATTTTTTGATGAGTCATTAGTAGTGAAAAATGCCCCTAATGTCATCACACACTTTTAGTTTAATTTTTGCTGCAACAACTTCTACATTTGTGACTATTTTTGCCTCAATACTCGGGGTCAAAGAAAACTATCCAACAAATCCCAAACCTGAATAAACAGGTGTTTCAATGTGCTTTTCATTCACAAACAAATCCACATTACAATCTGCCTTACAGGCCGATAATGAAAGACTTCCTCAGCCGCAGACAAAGTGCTGTCGTGCTTACTCACTCCGTCTAAACGCAGCCTGCTGACGACTTCTTTAACACAACGAGCCGAGGCCTCGCTCAAACTCAAATTAGCCTCCGGGGGGAAACAAGATGTTGCTGACGACCACTCAGCTGAGCAAAGTGACTGCCTAAACATGGCCGACAGCTCCGGCAAATTGCCCGTGAATGGAAAAAAATGGGACGGCGTCGGGCTACGGGGGCAATGAGGCGTTATATTGCCATGAAAACACTCTGATGGGAGGGTGCAGGCTGGTCGCACAGCTGCTGTCAGTGTTTAAGGCAAGACGAACTGGTCTTTATTTTAAAACTGGGGCGGGTGGTTTTATTCTGGCTTGGGACGTCACACACTGAGTTTACGTATCACCTTGGGTCCTTCACCTTCTCAAAATGATCCCACACTTTGGATTTCCTGCCTGACTGTCCAGACTGTCCAGTATCTGCGACGAAGACGATGAAGCACATCCTCAGCAGCATGCCGAGGCCCCAGTCAACACTCTCAGTGTTTGCAGACACTCCAGGCACATTTACATCTCATTAAAACTAAACACACATCACACTGGATGCTGCCGGCATACGAATGCAGCCACAGACCGACCAGGGCCAGTGACATCATCAATAATCTGTCAGGGAAGTATTGGAGATTTGGTTGGGAAATTTCATGCTGCCAAAGTAAATATTGAGACTCTCTCAGCCAGACGTGGAGCCGGCAGTCGGATTTTAAGAGGCCAATATGTAAATTGCACAGAAAGCTATCAGAGCTGAGATGATCAGCTGATACTTATTATTTCAGCAACAGAAAATCATTTGTAAAAGCAAAAATACAGCTTCTTAAACAGGAGGATGTGCTGCTTTTCTTTATCTTACATTAAAGTAAACTGGATATTTGGCAGATTTAGACTGGAAGTTACATCTTAAAATATCTTTAACAGGCTTTTTTTTTTTTTTTTTTTTTACTATTTTATGATGATAAAATAATCAGCATTAATCAATCATGAAAATAATAAAGTAACACCCCTACATTCTGTTGAAGTATTTAAGCATTACTGTGGTGTTACTGCCAATTTTTGTTTATCAATTTTGTTGATTGGCTGCTTGTTTTAGTCACTGTAAGTTATAAAAATATCATATTCGCATATTACAGATGCAGCACTTTTCTGTTAAATGTTAAATGGCCTCTCAAGCCTCCATAAAAATAGCATTTTAAGTCTTGTGTGTGATTTATCCTGGCTAATTTAAACAATGTAAAATGCCATAGGCTTGTGCTAATAACGTTAGCATGTTGTATTTGTTCGGAAAACGACAGTTGTTTTGTCAGTGAATCTTTTGAGTTGTTATGGAGCTGAATTATGTAACGTTATCTTTGTTAAATGTTGCTGTTGTCCCTGGTTTTATGAGTAGAAGAAAAGTCCACTAGCTGCTAGGCTAATTTATACAATGTAAAATGCCATAGGCTTGTGCTAATAACATTAGCATGTTGTATTTGTTCAGAAAACGACAGTTGTTTTGTCGGTGAATCTTCTGAGTTGTAATGGAGCTGAATTATGTAACATTATCTTTGTTAAATGTTGCTGTTGTCCCTGGCTTCATATGAGTAGAGGAAAAGTCTGCTAGCTGCTAGGCTAATTTATACAATGTAAAATGCCATAGGCTTGTGCTAATAACGTTAGCATGTTGTATTTGTTTGGAAAACGTGTTTAGTATCAGACAGTTGTTTTGTCAGTGAACCTTGTGAGTTGTAATGGAGCCAAATTATGTAATGTTACCTTTGTTAAATGTTGCTGTTGTCCCTGGTTTTATATGAGAAGAGGAAAAGTCTGCTAGCTGCTAGGCTAATTTATACAAGGTAAAATGCCATAGTCTTGTGCTAATAACGTTAGCATGTTGTATTTGTGGGGAAAATGTGTCCAGATAAAGACAAGTGTTTGTCTGTGAATGCTGCGAGTTATAGTGAAGCTGATTTGTGTACTTGTGTTTGAAAGTGTCTCTATTAAGCCATGTTTAATGTGTGTTTAATGTGTGTTTAATGTGTGTTTTGAATCAACTAAACTTTACAGCACTTCGCAGGGTTCTTTCCATAATGTTGTTAGACAGTCATAATAACAATCTGTGCCTATGAAGGCTCTGGAACACCAAGCCAACAGTTTGACAGTGGTCAATGTTTGGCTGTCGGTGAGCATCTGTGGCCCTACTCGGTGTGTCATTTCCCGCATCATCAGCTTTATTCAGCCTATTCAAAGTGTTGAATCGGCGCTGCCGGAGCCTGTCGTTGAATAAAATCACTCTGATTGTCAGTTCAGCTCAGGGCACGAGAGGACAAACAGAAGTGAGGAAAGTAAACAAGAAGTGAAACCAGAACAAACTTGTGTTGTGTTGTTTATGTGCTAACTGCCAACTAGCGTCAAGACGGTCTTCCAGTTCCCTTTATCACACGACGAACACAGACTGCAGCCATTTGCTGGTGTGGATTTATTTCTTGTCACGCAGGTGCAGAGCGTATGTGGCAGCGAGCAGTGCAAATGTTCTCCAAGCCCCCAGAACATCCAACGAACCATCAGATCATCGTCTTAATTGCTGTCAGTGGGTTTTAAGTGGACTCCGGGAGGCTTCGTCACCCTGTGGTGGTGATGTTATGGCTTTATCAGCCATGAGAAGCTTTTAACCTGCGTCCTGTCTGTCACTACGAGGACTCTCATCCTCTCCTCTCTATCAGCGCTCACTAATTAGCCCCTGTTGAACCATCACCTCTGTCACTACATCACGGCCTTATCTGCTCCGCACTGCAAATAATTACTGATACTGACCATGCTGTGCTCTGTAACTCATTCAGAACATTAACTGATTGCATATCTTTATGTTATGCTGGATGAAGTCTCTGTGGTTAGTGGACTTGATACCTAAAGATAAACTCATTACACCCATAGGTGTGGGTTGCCTCTCTGGATGCAGTCATGCCTGACCTTCATTAGACATTGAGTAGAGGCTGCATGGTGCACGAAGCTGCACACACACATATGTGTACACTGTCAGGAGGCATGAGGAGCCGGTGGCAGCAGGTTGACATGAAAGCTGCAGCTCCTGGTCACGACATGTGGCTGGCTGCACACCACATGCTTCCGTTTGACCTGTTTCCTGCAGGGATGCTTGATCAGATGCTCCTCTCTCACAGGCCAACAATAACATTAAAAAACAACCTTTAACATGAATGCAATTAAACAATTTCGTCAAACTTAAACAACGTGTCCGATAATGGAACTCGCTGCTCTTGGAGCTGCTTAGCTAGCAAACACGCCCCGGGTGTCACGTCCCCCGTGCCGTGGATGATGGTGGTGTCGCCGGTTGCTTGTGGCTGTCTCTCCCCTTCACTGCTCCCCTCACACAGTGTAGCCTCACACTCCTGTTAGCTTAGCAGGCTGGTTAGTTCGTCCAGAAGAACAGCATTTGAGCTAGCTAGTTAGCCTGTGTGATGCGCGTGCCGAACTCCCCTGTAAATATCTACTATTTTAAATAAGCCTCGCTTGTGCACATTAAAAAACTGACCAAGATTAAAATAATGTATTCATAAAGTTATATTAGAATCCACTCTTTAATTCGGAGTGTATTCTGTGCGTTAATATAGACGTATTTACGTAAAAACTGAACTTTTAGGAGTGGTTCCCAGTGTCATCACAGGCTTCCACCGGCGGTTAACGCGACATTAAATACCCTTTATTTTCTATGAGGTTTGGCAGAGGGTGGAGCTAGCGGGGGTAACGGTACTCACTTCTCCGTCGATGAGTCCTTCCCAGCGGCTTCATTCTGTCCGTCCCCCTTGGAGCAGAAGCCTCTCACGCCGTGCCTCCTGGCGAGGTGCTGCGGCACAAACGCCCTCCCTCTGCCCGCTGATCTGCCATCCAAGCAGCCGGTGCTGAAGCAGGCGGCGGCGGCAGGTGACGACTTCACTACACCTGTCAACGGACGCTTCAGCTGGGTCTGAAATAACTCCTTGAGCGCGACCGTTGACCGAAACTGTAACATCTCAACCCCGTGGAGGAGAAAGTGTGGCCGGTGTAAGCGCTGAGGAGCCGGGAGGAGAAACGAGGAGGACCGGAGGCGCTGTTATTAACGTACAGTGTCGGCTTTCGCTTCCGAGTAACGGTTTTACCGGTGACTCAACAACAGAACAGGCTCCTCCCACCTTTCCACGCACCAAGAGTTTTGATTGGAGGATAATAACGTATATCTGCACCTGATTGGCCAAGAGGGCTGTCAATCATCATGACAGTGCGTCCCATTGATTTTCAATGACTTATCTCCATCACTGCCTCAATTAATCAACATTTAACAGCTAATTATTAATAAATAAATACTTTAATAATGTTTTTAAGCCCCGTTTATCTCTTTATAACATTTTAAATAAGACTTTAAAGAACCAAAGCAACATTATATGAGCGTTTAGAGAGGAAACACCAGAGCAAAGCACATGACAGACACAATTAAGTGCTGTAATATTAATATAGTGGGTAGAAAATACAGAAAAGCACAATTATTATATTTATGGTCTATTAAATTACTATAAATTTCCATTGGATCGTAACAATTATTTTGGCCTTTATGACACAGACAGACTTGTGTCGATGTTATTCGTGTGAGGAAAAATATAACAGAAAAAAGATTTGTAAACTCACCAGATCTGGAAATACACAAACAAAATCCACGTTAAAAAAGTTTACGTAAAAAAGATTCACAAATAAAAAACTGGATTCAAAAATATTTATTAAAAAGTTGTAAATGTTAAAAAAACATTTATGAATATTTTCCTATTATTTTTTAATAAATATAATCAATTTATTTGTCAGTATTCACATATTTATTTTTTTTAATTTTTGGAACTTGTGTATTTTGCAGATCTGTTTTACATTTACAAATTCCTTAAATTAAAAAAAATGTGAATATTGACAAATAAATTGATTATATTTATTAAGAAATAAATATGAAAATATTCATATTTTTTTTCAACATTTACAACTTTTGAATAAATACATTTGAATCCAGTTTTTTTTTTTTTTTTAAATAGTTTACAAACTCAGTATGAAGTCAGATTAAATGTTGAGGGAGTAGCTCCATGTCCTCATATCCTGTCCTGCGCTGACACCTCGTGGCTGATGGTGGTACTGCACATGTTCAGCCTGTGTCCTCAGCAGATGGCGTCCTGTCCTTCATCAAACAGCTACAGCACCAACTACTGGGAGAAACTATTCTGCATCAGTCCACAGACACCAGCAGCAGACTGACATGTAACCGACTATAATAAATTATAAAATAATTACAGACACTTAAACACAGGCATGTCTACAGCTTTGTTTTTATCTCTGGTTGTTTTTCACTGAGCTCTGACACTTCTATGCTGCTTTATACTGATAAATTATGTAGTATTTTTCAATAGGAACCATTAATTAAATAATCTACCTTTGTATGGGGGATGGAAAATGACAGAAGTGTCAAAAATGAATAAATAAATAGATGCTTAAATAAAAACTGAAAGTAAATCAATAAATCCACGTATAAATAAATAAATAAATAAATGCAGAGATTAGGACCTCCTAAGTCGTTAACATGTGGATAAAAAATTACATAATAAATAAATAAATGTAGAAATAATTATGATGATATTTATTCAATTATGTCCTGTTTAATCATTAATCATAATTATTTATTTTCTTATTTATATCTGTAATTATTTTTTACATCTATTTATTTTTGTATTCATTTATTTATTCCTGCATTTATTTTTAATAATTTATTTATTTATTCATTTACACTTATTCTTGTATTTAACTATTTCTATATATATTCATACATTTATTTCTGTTTTTATTTATTCATTTATCCTTGCATTTATCTAAAAAGTACTTATTTTTTATTTATTTATCCTTGTGTTTATCTATAAATTTACTTATTTATTTATTTCTGTTTTTATTCATTCATCCTTGTATTTATCTATAAATTTACTTATTTGTTTTTTCTTTATTTATTTCTGTATTTCTAATACCATATTTATTCATACATTTATTTCTGCTTTTATTTATTTATTTATCCCTGTATTTATCTATAAATTTACTTATTATTGATTAATTTATTTCTGTTTTTATTTATTTATCCTTGTATTTATCTATAAATTTACTTATCATTTATTAATTTATTTCTGTTTTTATTTATTTATCCTTGTATTTATCTATAAATTTACTTGTTATTTATTTATTTATTTCTGTATTTTTTTAATACCATATTCATTCCTACATTTATTTATTTATTTCTGTTTTTATTTATTTATCCCTGTATTTATCTATAAATTTACTTATTTATTTTTTTATTTATTTCTGTATTTTTAATACCATATTTATTCATACATTTATTTCTGTATTTATTTCTGAATTTATGTGTTTATTCCTAAATTTATTCATACATTTATTTATTTATTTCTGTAATATTTTGCGCGTTTATTTTTTGAGTCTTCCATTTTATATTCCTGCATTTATTTATACATTTATTTATCTATATCCATATCTTTTTATTCCTATATTTATTCATACACTTACTCATGTAGTTACATATTTTTTTTTATCAATTCCTGTATTTCTCGGAATCATTTTTAAAAATGTTTTATTGATAGTTATTTTTCATCCTCCGTACCATAAGTCATCAGTTCCTCTCAGTCTGTTGTTCTTGTGTATCAGACCTGAGTCAGACGGCATTTTACTGTTTGTTTTGACCTCTTTCTCACAGGTCAGGTGGGCGGAGTTTGATACCCCGTTTAAAATAATGACCTACATCAAAGATTACTCACTGGAAACTATTTTATAAAGTTGCTTCACTTTACTTTTCTCTGACTCCCAACTTTTCATCTGGGTAAACTCCGCCCACCTAAAACTAATCATGCCCTCCTCAGAACAGGGTCATGGATTCAGACTGAACGCCACTGCCAGACACATGAACACTGCAGCTCAAACTTCCATGTAATCAGGTCAACAATTAAAGGGGAATTCCACCAAAATTTTCTTGTAGGTTATTTTACAGGATTTTCATTTTAAAAAATCCCTTTTATGCAGATGTTAAATGAGCTTCAACCACACATGACGTCCACGGTACCCTGGTGTGTTGGCTGGTGACGCTCTGGGACGCCGTGGAGAAGTTTCAGCTAGTTGCAATCTGCACTGCTCGCCTCTAGATGGCGCTAAATCACCCTAAATCTGACACACTAGTTTTAAAAGTCATAACAGAGACACCTCGTCACCTGTGTGTCAGTTTAAGCAGCTTCTCCCTGAGCTCTCCAGGCGTCGGCCGCTCTCTCAGCAGCTCTCAAACTTTAATTTTTGTGCAGAAATTCCCCCACGAGCAGCTGCGATTTCACCGCGTGCAGCAGCAGCAGCGGAAAACAAAGGAAGGAAGGAAGGGAGACAAACAAGGCGATCCCTAACGAAGCTGCAGGGATGAGAGGCGATAATTCACCAACACCCACACCTTCTCAAAAGCAGTCAGCTTCCTGCTCCTTTCAAAACCAGGGTGATGGGTGCGCTCGGCAGATCCCTCCCACGCTGCTTAGCGGCTGGCTTCCGCCCACCGCCCGTGGAGCCGCCCACCTCCAGCCGTTGCCACGGCAACACATCATCATCAGTGACTTGCACCGGAGGAGGAGAAGGAGGAGGAGGAGGAGGAGGAGGACAGGGAGGGGAGGGGTGAGCAGGGCTGCCACTGTGAGCAGGAACCAGCATGGTGTTCATGAGCTGAGCTATTCTCCAGAGAAAATCTGTCTACGTGTGTGTGTGTGTGTGTGTGTGTGTGTCTGTGTGTGTGTGTGTGTGAGTGAGGGAGAGGATGATGGGAAGTATGTGAAAAGGACCTGCGTCAGAGTGAGTCATCAGCCAGTTTCACAATGTGTTGATGTGACGCTGATGCAAATGGGCCTGCGCAGGGATTCATCTCAGGACAACACAAAAAGAAAGACAAGAAGAAGAAGAAGAAGGAGGAGAAGAAGAAGGAGGAGGAGGAGGAGGAGGAGGAGGAGAAGACAAACACAGAGGACAGAGTCGCTCCTTTAAAGGAAGCTCGACACTTTGACCTCATCATCACAGTGTGTTTCCCGTCCTCTGCCGGGATCATCACGCACTCTTTCACTCTCCTTTAGCTCCGCCCTGATTTGCATCCACGCACAGTCATGCTGGGAACACCCGGGGCTTCCCTGCCTTGCTCAAAGGCACTTTAAAGTTGTTCCTGGAGTTGGGCTGATTTATGGTTTTGCTGGTCCGGTCCAGTGTACAAGTTTAAACCAACTGGCATTTGTCATTATCATCCCTCTGACACTGCCTCATCAAGGCGGGACTTTCATGCCGTTACGCCGTGCTGTGTAAAAGGTTTATTCCAGATACGGGGGGCGGAGCTGTCTCGCCTTTAACCCTTTGAAAACTGAGCAAAGTGGTTTCATTTGTTTTAAAAACATGGGAAGAAGGCGATGAGCAATGAGCGAAAAAAATTACCCAAAAATTATTATAAAAAGAATATTAAAATTAGTAAAATAAATAAATAAATAAAAATGAGTAAAAATAGTAGCAGTAGTAAAATTGGTACAGTAAAATTGTAAAAAAAAAAAGTAAAAATGAGTAAAGTTTTTTTTGTTACTTTTAATAGTTAAAGTAGTAGTAAACATAAGTTAAAAAATAGTATAGAAAAATGAATTAAAAAATTAGTTGAAAAAAGTTTAAAAAAAAAGTAAAAATAGTACTTTTAATAGTTAAGGTATTAGTAAAAATAAGTTTAAAAAATTAGTTAAAAAAACAGTAAGAAAAAGTAAAACATACAAGTAGTCGTAGTCAAAGTAGTAAAAAATTTGTAAAAAAAAAATAGTGAAAAAAAAGTGAAAAAATTGTAAAAACAGTCATAGGAGTAAAAAATAGTAAAAAAAAAAAGTACTTTTAGTAGTTAAAGTAGTAGTATTAAGAATAAGTTTAAAAAAATAGTAAAACAAATGAAAAGAAGAAAAAAGTTAAAAAATATTTTGAAAAGTAAGAAAGAGTAACACGTAGAAGCAGTCGTAGTCAAAGTAGTAACAAATGTGTAAAAAAAAGTGAAAAAAATTTGTAAAAATTAGTAGTTACTTTTAGTAGTTAAAGTAGTAGTAGTAG